GCTGAGACTAAAGGTGTGCCACTATACCCAGCTTGCTATATACCTTATTATAAGAGAACAAGAGATTATTCATTTAAGCCATGGAGGCAGGCTACTTATATTCAGGAAATGGAGAAAAAACAAAATTTAAAAAAAAAAAAAAAAGTAAGAACCGGGCCATTTAGCACTGAGCAAAGGGAGCAATTCCAGAACAAATGCTTATTTAAAACTTGGATCAAATGGCATTGGAAGTTTTCAAACAATGCCAAGACATAACAATTTCCATGAACAGCAGTTAAAATAAAGAACTTCCCAAACAGTAAGTATTTTACAGTGATTTAAGACCAGGAAAGGTCAAGACATCCTCTAATCAGATGGATTTCAATGCAAACATCATTTCTGGGTGTTCTGCCAATATGTATGTTAGTGCCAAATGCCTAATTCAAAACCATATATAAGAATATTTTAACTGAAATACAGAAGTTAAAAATAAGACACTTAAACAGTAATCTCCCTACTCTCGCAAAGATAAATGTGCCCATTAACCCTGTATGTTACACTGTATAAGATAGTATTTTAAAGCTTTTTACAAGGAAGTTGCCATGAAAAAAAATTTTTTTTAGCTAACTGGTTCCTGACCAGCTACTTCAATGAATTAAAATACATACAATCACATTCATAACTTTTAAGTGAGAATATTAAAACATGTATTAAATCCCTCCGTGTAACATCCTGTGTAAACATGGGGAGGCTGAGGGACAGTGGGCCGCAACAAAATATAAGATACCACATATCCTTTTGTGGAGCTTAATATCGTTAGGGCAGGAAGAGACAAATGTGAAGTTAAATGAAATGTTAAAATAACAGTTGTAGACAATAGAAGAGATGTCAGAAAACAGTGTACGATTCATTGCCAAAAATATTGTTGCCAACAATTCTGCTGCTAGAGTATTTCAAAGAAAAAAAGTCACTCTAAACCTGGAAGGTCTACGGAAACTTTACAGAAGGCAGGATCTCAGCTCAATCTTAAAAGATGCTTAGAAACCTGTGGGTAATCAAAGGAAGTACAGTAAAAATCTCAGAAATACCAGTTGATGGCTAGGGATCTAGCTCATGATAAAGTACTTGCCCACCATGGGCAAGGTACTAGGTTCAATTTCCAGCACCGGAAAAGAAAAATTGCTGTTTAAAACAGGAAACTTTTAGGAAGAAAGAATGCAACAGGTAAGCAAAGGTGTAGACAAGATTCAACAGGCAGAATTGAGATTTAGCAGTTGGCTACAAAAAATAAGGGCCAGTCCCCTTTTCAAAGCATCACACCTGACACACCCAGGCTCCACAAAGATCTTACTCTTGAGCAGATTTTCTTTCATCAACATAGAGTCTCTCCCCCAATTTTCTTGGAAATATTCAAATCATTTTTATTTAATGAAGATTTTTATAATTGCCTAAAGTCTCTGGTCTCGGTAAGATCTAGGCTCATGAAGGCTTTCTCTTTTGTCCCTTCTCCCCTCTGGCTTTGCTGATGGATGCAGACACAGGTTATGTTTGCATGGCTCATGTACATGGACAGCATGGTTTAATTTTTTAAAAAGATCGGCAAAGTTGAGGTTTACCTAACATTTCTAGTATCTAGCCATCTTCATTTGTTGTACACTAGAAGCCATCAGAGAACTCAGTGCCTGGTGCGCATTCAGCAATTATTTGGAGATTTATATTCTCTTACGACAAAACAGTTTCAGATTCCTTCTACAAGAAAGACTAATTCTGGGACAGTTCTCATCTGACCAAGATACATTATGCTTTTTCTTCCAAATGTGATCTGAGCTCCAAAAAGTTCTGAGTCCAGGGATATTTTTCCTGTATCTCTGCAATTGCTCACCTATTATTCTGATCATCCTGGACCCCAGATAAGAGATGAGTTTGCAAAGCACTGTCTCCTTGAATCCATCTTTCCACTGGGCTTTAGGCACCATCGCAGGTAATAACATATAGAAACTACCACTTTTAGAGTGAGCTTCCTTTAAAAAGAATGTGTCAGGCCAGGGATTTAGCTCAGTGGCACCACACCTGCCTTGCAAGCACAAGGTCCTGAGTTCACTCCCTGGTACTGCATAAAAAAAAAAAAAAAAAAAAGTGTCACCAGTAAGAAAATTGCCTCTGTATTCTTCAGTCACTTCTGCAACAATCTGTTCTCCATCCTAAATATTTAATCCTCAGGTAGATATGGACTTTGGAAAACCAAAGATTGTCCCTGGCTCCTGGTAACTTCAGATCACTGGGCATACAAAACTGTTTTCTTTCATGAAATTTTCTCAGTTCTTCACACTTAAGTCTCTTATTTTGTACCATGTTTAATTAGGGAAAGATCACTAATATATCACTTTCATTGCTGGGTCTTGGTGGGCTTCTGAAATCTTTAAGGACTTCTTAAAAATAAGAAGAGGAAGAAAAGTGTAAAATGTGTCAGGGAAATGAAGTTCCTATAATTTCATTCTCAAATTTTGCCTTTTAAATATAGTTCTTCTACCCAGAGTTCAGTGGGTAGATGGTTTCCTTATTGTCACTTGTTAGCCATGACAGGCAGCAACACTTCTTTCAGATACAGTCTCCCTTCACCACAATTATCCAGTAATGCCTGCAAGGCAAAAGGCTGCTCAAAACTTCTTCCTTCAGGAATGCTTTTCCCATAGGCAACAGTCCAGAGCAAACCTCTATTAACTGGAACACTGACATTTGCAGAATTCTCTGGACAGGACAATTTCACTACTCCTGGAGTGATAGAAGAAACTAAGACATAATTACTTGTAGTCCAGTCACTAGGAAATCAGCTCAGCAACACAGTTCAACGGTAGAGGCTTTATGTATCCACACTGACAGCATTACCAACCCATAAACAATCTAACCAGAGCCTGTCACTGCACACACATCCCTCTTGGAAGAATCTTTTCCTGTTAATCTTCTCCAAAGAGGAAAGGAAAAAAGAAAAAAAATTTTTTTTCTGCTAAAATTCAATGTAGGAAATGGAAACAATAATATGTTAGTAACAAAACTAAATAAATTACTGCACCATGGGCTTGTTAGCCCCTAGACGTATTTGCAAATGTGACACAAATATTACACACTGCTAACAGGGCTCATAACTTACAACTTGCAGCAACATAAAAATGGAACATATTTTTTATCTTTAAGTCTCTTTACTGATTTAGTTCTTTTGTTTTATGTATTTTGGAGCAAACTGAGGGCAAAGCATTTCAAGGAGAAGAGAAATTGGTGAGAGAAAAAGAAGTGAGACAGAGAGTAAGGTTAAGAGGGCAGCAGGGGGACTTGAGGACTGAAGCACGATGACAGGGAGGAGTCTGTGACTCACCAGATCATTCAGTCTGAAAAGGTATCTAACATATGAAATCTGGTGCATACAGAGCATCGCCCAGCTTGATGTGGTGGTGAATGCAGGCCTATAATCCCAACTACTTGGGAATCTGAGGAGGATCACGAGTTTAGGACCAGCTGAGCAATTCAGCAGGACTTTGTCTGCATCTTAGTTACTTTTCTCATTGCTGAGACAAAATACTTGACTCCCAAAGTTAAAGGAGGAAAGATTTGGCTCACAGTTTGTAGAGGTTTCAGGCCATAGTAGGCTGGCTCCAAGACAGGGTGGCACGGCAGAGGAGCATCTCAGAAGAGAAACAGTCCACGGCAAGTGGGTAGGTGAGAGCACATTAGGCCTCTTCCTGTTCCTTATATTTACAGGCTACCAGCCCTAGCACAGGTATAGCATTCAAGCCCTTAGTCCTAGCCAGAACTACGCCAAACCGAGTAGTGGACTGATCTAGTAATTACACACCCTTGATTCTAGCATCACACACTCTAGATCCAGCCACCCCTGAAAAGCTCCTACCATGAGTGCACGAGGGTTTGGGGGACATCTAGACCTAAGTCACAACAGTCTCAAAATTTTAAAAAGGGTTTGGAATGTAGCTCACTGGCAAAGTACCTGCATGAGGCCCTAGGTTCTGCCCCAGTAACGCAAAAACAATAACCAAAAAAAGCATCATTCGCCCACTCTAGGGAAACACACAGCATTAATACCTCAGATTGTTTTCTAAGCATTAAGCCTACATAATGTTTCACAGAAAAAAAAAAAAACAGAAAAGACAGAAATAGGATAAATATGTAATTGTTATAATATAAACATGAACATACTTGGGTGTTGTAAATTTTAATAATATTGGCAAGGAGCCAAATTATGTCCTAGAACATGGAGTACAAAACCTCAGAGACAAAATACAAATTCTTAAAAATATAAGAGCACTCAAAAAAAGGTAGTAATCTTTAAGATGAAACAACCATTTTCTAGACAAAGGCAACAAGCACGTTTAGGGTCATGTTTGCATACAAGAAGGCACGGTGCCAGCACAAATGAGCTTCCATCACCAACAGACTTGGAATAAACACCTCCAGGTGGGCAGAATTTCTCACAGTTCACTTGCAGGATAGGAAATGATTTACTCTTTGGTTTTGCAGCACCTTTAGAAATGAACTGTGTTGGCACACAGAGGGAGCAACCTGTTTCCACACAGCAGTAGTGGGGATATGCTCCACCCCTCCCACCCATGCAAACCCAGCTGCCATCGCAGCAGGGCGTGGTCTGGGGGGTGGCAATGGGAGACAAGCTGTGTCCTCTGGGAACAACTCATTACTCAGATAAACTAAATGTAACAGCTCCATGTGATCAACAAAGCAAAAATAAGAGGCCAAAACAATAGGGGTTCTCACCCTCAGAGGGATAATGTGCCACTAGCCAGCGTGTAATGAGACAGCAGGAACAGAGGAAATATTCCTGGTTCAGTGGTGCTGATCATCTGTCAGGACAGATGTGCCATCTGATCTAGGTTTTCTGGGTGGGTGGGCAGGGGCTTCCCTCAACTCTGCAGCAAATACTTTAATGCTACTGTCATTTGAGTAGCATTTTTTCCCCCAAGGGCGCTATCTGTTATGCTTCACTTGGGCCAGATGTGCTTTTTTTTTTTTTTTTTTTTTTTTTCTTCCCAAGGGCACTACATGTTATGCTTCATTTGGGCCAGATGTGCACATCAGCGTGGCTGCCATACCTGCTAAGAACACAAACATTTATTTATGTGTTCTTCCAGCATACAGAGAAGTGGCTGCTGAAATGCAGCAGATGACAGAGAGCTAACACTCTTCTGTAAACAACTAGGATCCTGGTGAATGAGGTCACAAGGGAGAAGACACCCTTACTCCAACCTGATGTGACAGGCCATCTATAGCTTCCCTTATTTCCAACCCTAAATCAAGTTTAAACAGACGTAGGTTCCATGTGACAGGAGGGACAGTAAGGGAGATTTGAGGCTTTATATTCTTTAGATACCTACTTGTGCTGGCCTGGCTATTAAAAAGTTATGTGGGACTTCAAGATGAAAGGCACGAGCAGCTTCTTAGAAGAGGAGAGTCCCAAACTTCTGTAGATTTAATGAGATCGAACTCACTGAGGCTTCTGACTTGGTTGGCTGTTAATTGAATCAAAGTCAATGACAATCTTGTTGCACCTGGGTGTGAATTTCCTAAACATGAAAAACAAAATATATAAAGATATTATCCAATGAGTAGTTAAAGCAATTTGTTTACTTTGGTTTAAACTATATTTTCTGTGAAGAGAAAAAAAGTCCTGGGATTTGCTTGATATTTTATCTCTACAGGAGCCAATTATAGTGCACCATACCGAGAGAAACAGACCAGAAAAGACTAAGACAAAAAAGATGCATGGGGTGGCTTGGTGTATGTTTTTCAGCTATCTGAGTTCATGAATTATCCGGGAGTCAAAGGATTTCTAACAAGTTAGCTGCACAACATGATATCTGATTACTTCTTTTCCCATCAGATTTATCTTATTTTCTAGGAAATTTCTACAGCCAACTTGGAGTGGTTCCAAAGCAAAAGGTAGTAAATTTTCTTTTGCCTCTTATATAGAGCAAAAACTATTTGTTTTAGTGAGGAGCAATTTCTTAAACTCATGTTTTAAAAATGCAAATGTTTCTGTACTCATTAACTTTTTACTCATTTCTATAATAACTGAAAAACATTTGAGGCTAAATATATTTTTTTAGAGGAGAGTATGTAAATAACTTGGATTTAAAAATCTCATAGAGTGTGATAGTCCAAGAGATTTATCCCATAAAACCCATATTCCTAAAAACACAAGGAGCTAGTCATGTTATCTGTTTAACAGACCTGCCATTGCTGATCATAAATACCATAAAGTTCTCCAGTCCCAAAGGAATTTTCTGCCATTAATCAAAGATGAGAGAACTTACTTGCAAGTAAAACATACCTCAAAAATCTTGGCTCAGCAAAGACAATCATAAAAATCCAAAAGACTTCTAAGCTCAATTTGAAATGTTTCTTTAAAAAAATTCCTGGTGTTTCAACCAGGTTGCTTTCATCCATAACTGTCTATGCCAGAGTTGTTATATTTGCAAAATTTACAATCGTTTAGTATCACTACTACACAACTTGTGAATTTCAAAATTTCTTGATACAGTACTTGAATAATTAGTCTAAACTGTGGAAAATTAAAATATAATCCTTAAACAGATTGTCTTCCGATATTATCTGTCACTACTCCTTTAATTATGCCATCACACTTCCAAATGTACTCTCCAGTGTGAAAGTTGGCATAGAGGGAGAAAGTGGGTATCAAACAAGGTCATGCATGTGTCTGGATCAGCCCTTTAAATCACCCTTCCTCGGAGTTCTCCCAACTCACCTGAATGTAACCCCAGCCATTTCAAACATGAGCCTCGCAGCTGTTGTCTCGTCACTGTCATGGTATTTATCAGACATGAAAATAACTTCTTTTATACCTTAAAAGGTACCAATGAAAGCCTCATTAGTAAATGCATATAAATACTGTAAAAGAAAGACAGAAGCAGATGGAGCCCTCCTAGTGTCTATGATTAATTACCTCTTCCGAGTGTGCTTGCAGACACTGTCCAGTTACTGAAATATGTACCTGTCGTTTTCTAATACAGCAGAGGGTGGACTACATTTAATCTGCCCTCCAGTCTTTATGAATTTTTTTTAAACAAATGCAAAGTGAAAATACATCAAAGCAGTCAAGCCTTGACCAGATTAATAAATTTTCTTTCTCCAGGTAAGCAAATATTCTTTATGCACAGGCAACTACTTGAGAGTTGATGGGGTGAGTAAAGGGGGCGGGCCAACGCAGAGATTAGCACCACTATGCTCCCCAGAAGGGCTCTGCAGACCAATTTGGCCTAGCTCTGTGAAGCACAAATCTGCTCCCTTTTTCTGACCTCACCAGACAGCAGCAATAACTTGAGCAGGGAGTTTTGAGTGTGCTGCACTAAAGGCTGCTCCTCCATTATCTTCAGAAGGGACCCAGAAGCTGGCTGCATGGAGCATAGGCTGTTCGGTGCCTATGCTTGCTGCCACCTCGATACCTGTGGATGGCAGAAGAAACAACTCAAAGGATTTAGGAGCAGCGGCTGTGTGGGAGCCCAGACTGTTTCTTAAGGGCAGCTTCTGACTGGCTGCCAGCAGACCTCCTCTGCTCTGAGATCCACAGGGCTTGTGATGAACAGCCCCTTCAAACCACACATCTGGCTAAACATGCTAAGTCTTTAGATCTCAAGCTGAGAGCTTTATGGAGACAAAGTGTAGCTGAATCTTAGATGTGACAGTTTGAAAAAGGTGAAATATTCAGAATACAATAGTGTGGATTGATGATAACTGCAATATAAGAAAAACTTGGAGTGCTACCATTTCAGTCCTATGACATTTACATGCAAAGATATGCTTACATCCTCAAATATCTACCACATATTAGATACAAATTAAAATTTGATATACAGACTCCCAGCTGACCTTGTTTCTGACAGTTCATTTCCCTTCCTCCCCCTTAATCTATGCACAGTATGTCAAAGAATGGTAAATTGACAATAATTATATGCAAAGCCTGTGTTGTTTTTTTGGCAGCTTGCAGTTTAAGAAGTTGCAAACTAAATTAAAAACATGCTAAGAATCACAGAGGATGCAATCAGTCTTAGAATACCTGGCACCATTCAAAAACAAAACACAAGAAATATCTTGCAAAGTTGATTCTGCAATTAATTTAGATCTCAACAATAACAATTTAAGATCAGACACATCTGCAGTGAGCTACTTGATGAGCAGGCAGCAACGCAAACGTGACACTTGGAAAGGCCTGTTTCCTACCTGCCTGGATGATGAGCTTAGCACATTCATTACATGGGAACAAGGCGACATACATGCTACAGCCCTTCACATCAGCCGAATTCTTGTTCATGATGGCATTCAGCTCAGCATGACACACTAAGTGAAAAAGAGGGAAAAAGAACCATTAGACTGTATCTCATGAAGAATTTACCAAGTGTTAAGCATTGTATTCCCCCCTCTGAAATAACTGTAATAGACTTAATAAAAATACATTGATTAGAAAGGCAAGTACTGAGAATATCAAGTGAGGGCCACATGATGTGACTGGGTCGGTGATTAGAAGGGAAACCTTTCACTGCAGCAGCCCTCAGTCTGTAAGTACCCAGAGCAGCCAGGAGAGGCTAAGGTCAAGTACCTTCACCCACCCTAAGCAGGGCGATAGCTCACTGCTCCACAAGACCCTGGGGTACAGAATGGCTCATTTGTGTTGATATGCACACACAGGAATATTCTGCGCAGCTATTAACAGGGCAAGGAGCAATAAGAGCAAGAGAATCAAGAAGTGAAGCTGAGCATTTCTCTCCTGAGGGATCCGCTTCACCTCACCATTCTCAGCACAGATGCACAAGGAAAAATACCAGCAGAGAGCCAGCAGCTTGTCATACTTAGCAGAAACAATCATCCAGTTAAGGGCAATCAATAGCGAGGTTCTTGATATACTGGCCCATTTCACCAGTGATTCAGGGTCACCCAATGGCATGCCTGAGTTCAAGGTCAGAGGGAGAACTTTCCTCGCTCTCCTACACCTGTCAGAGCTGATCCCCTTCCCAGGCCCAGTCTGGCCAGCTGTTCCCATCACCTAACCATGGGAGGTCCCTCCTCAGGAGGGAATAAAGACTTCAGCAGAGACCTGGTTCTGAATCCCTCAGCCTGCTGGGTGAGGTTTCTGTATGGCCATCTTTGTACTATTATTAAATTTCTGGCTGTGTTATCTAAGACTATAGTATATTCTTTATTTCAGGGACTCAAACTTGTCCCTGTAGGAGCTTCCAAAATACTAAATATCTAAGTCCCATCCTGGAAGTATGAAGGTGTGGAGTGTGGCAGACTTTTTTTTTTTTTGGTGCTGGGGATTGAACTCAGGATCTTGCATGTTCAAAGCAGGCGGCGGAACCACTAAGCTAAATCTCCATCCTTTGTGGTAGGAATTTTTAAGAGACTTACTAGGTAATTCAAATGTGCTTAGACAAGTGCAGGAAGTACTGTCACTCAAGGGTCCTTGGTCTCCCCCAGAACATACTTAGGCATACAAGTGCTAAAATGTTTGTTGGATTAATGAGCATCTGGGTGTGGGCCAAATCATACACAACTCCCAGAATATAACATGCAGACCTTCAAGGACCTCCCTACCCTCCCCAAACACCACCCTTCCACACTAGCTGGGCACCTTTTCAGTAGTTGTGAGGCCTTAAATGAACAGTGGCCCAAATGCATTGCTCCCCTTCATGTCTATAACAACTTCCTCTGTAATCAATGCACACTTACTAAGAATCTACTGTGGGTCAGATATGTGAAGGCCCTGACCCAGCTTCCTCAGCCAGCCTTCCATTTGATGCGTGCATACTGTAGTAATTTGGTAATGCTGCAGGTAGAAGGTCAACCAAGAGCTCTCAGAAAATGTCAGTACATCCCTATTTTATACTAGGAATAGCCTGTTTGGGGAGGTTTCGGTACTGTATGAAAATAAACTGAACAGTGTCTAGCACTGCAGGGAAAACTAAAGGAACAAGCTACACCTAATCAGATCATGGCCCATCAAAGAAAAAACCTGACTGGTCACAGAAGAACCTCGGCCATATCCCCAAAGACTTGCTGGTCTGACAAACCACCAATGCCTTGCAGGACAAGCACAGAAAAGTGGAGAAAAGGTAGCAAGGCCATGTGGGCACAGGCCTTGAGAGGCTCCCTCCGCTCCTGCTCCCCTGGTGATCAACATGTTCCAGAAGTGGGCATTAACAATGCTCAATGTTAAAAACAATTAAATGTAATTGTTTCTTTTATTTCCCCCTTGAGGGCAGAGCCCAGCCTTCTAGATTCTTTAACTTCCCTAGAGCCTAATGCAATGCTATGAACATAATGGGTGTTAAATATTTATTGAATGAATAAAGGAAGAAATGCAGATTCAAATTATCGATGGTGATGTTAAGAAATACCAAAAGTCCCCTTAAATTCAAGTATCAAAAATAGGCTTCTCCATCTAATACATATTTTTATCGTGTTGGTATTCATATTGAGAACAGAATCTCTGAATCTGTAACAAAATAGTATTACGATGTCCTCTTTTGAATTTCAAAGAACTGTCATACTGTGACAATTTTCCTCTTAATTCATCTAGGTAGTTTGGAGCAAATTTAACATCACAGGTCTGGATTCATTAGTGAAAATTGCTGTATGAAATAGATTCCCTTGGGAAGTATCTGGGGTCCCTATGTATAAAGGGTAGTTGACAGAAATAACACACAGGTTATTAAACAGACCTCTTTTCTCTTAACTTAAAAAAAGTATCACTAGACAAAAAATACAAAGCTTCCTGTTAAAGAAAAGATCAGGTCTACTAGGTGTTATGAACACTTGAGGGCCAGGTACACAGGAGATTCTTTATAAGGAACAGTTAGTTCCTAACCCATAATCCCCCATACAAAAAACTAGACAGTAACAGAAACATAACCCAAGTGTCCAGCCTAAAGCCTAAGAATGCACCCAAGTCTTCATTTCTCCCTCTCAGTCCTGTACTTTCAATTTCAGAAATTGTGAACATCTGCTTCCTTGCCAGGAGCACCTTGGCACACCTACTGCTGGCCTCCTGGCTACACCTAAAACTGGCAAATTTACTGCAGTGGGCTGTTTATCACTGAAAGCTCTAAAAGGGTCACAATCACTAAAGGGAGATGCCCCGCTTTCCAGGGAATCACTGACTCCTCAATCTGGACCTGTACACCTAATCCTCACCTTGTAACTCCCCACATGCTGTCTATTCAGGTCCCAAAGTCCAGCCTTGCCTTTCTGGCCTGAGATTTGCTGCAAAGGACCAAGGGTATCCATGGGCACCATAGCTCTGACTCCAAAATTCCCTTCACAATCACCTTGTAGGCCCCTTCTATCCAAGAAGCTACTTCTCACTCCTTAGGCCCAGGCCTCTCTACTTTCCTCAAAAAAGAAACTGGGCAGACCAACTTGATGACCATCCACTCAATTTGCTTAACATAGATCTGTCATAGGGTGGAGTGTTAGGAACTCATTTCTTATTTCTTAGACACCACTGACCAAACAACAGGGAACCACCAAGTTTGCTTCAGACCGCAAAGAGCATTTAAAATTAACATGCTGGAGTGTGGTGAGCTTGCTCCTGGCCCTGGCTAGCCAGACCATAAGGTCAAGCACCTTTGTCCTATATACTCTCCACCTCAGGAAGCAGGTATGAGAAAGAATGTGCTACAGTGGTTGTATCAGAGTTCAGTCAAGGTCAAATTTGATCTTTGACAAGGTACATATCCTTTGACAAAGTACATGACTTTCACATTTGCACAATTAACACTGGCTCTGCAAAAGTATATTTCCAACTATCATAAAAACAACTGTAAAAATACCAAATGCATTGATTTTTAGACTTTTCTTAATTCCCCAGTTTCATTCCTCAGCCCTCAAGAACAGCTGATCTTTCACTAACAAAACATGGGTCTCCTCTCTTGCTGCCACTTGCAAGGCCCCAGCTTTGAGACGCTGCTGCCCTCTCCATTCTCCTCCTTCTGCACAAGTCATCTGCTCAACATTTAAAGCCCCTTTTCTTTTTTGGAAGAAATCACCATTTCTACTATGGCTTCTCTAATTTTTAAAATTCTTGACTTTGTAATGCAGATATAACCTCTAGTTTTCAATAAAATTATGTTTTTTCAAACTTCAAGTCATAAAATCAGTTAGTGAATTACTTTAAAAAAAATAAAATGGATAAAGTAAGGGCAAAGATCAGAATACATCCCACATGCAAGGTCAGGCACTGCTCCTAAAACCTGTTTCCAGAACATGTGTGCCAGGCCACTATGTAAGAAGAATGGGACTTGCTACTCCACAGACACCTGTTGGCCTCTGTAATATACTGATATATGTGGACAACTAAATATTTTTTAAAAGGAAAGAAAAAGTCCCGTAGTACATCCCAATTTCTGTGTAGACACTCACATATGTGTAGGTACTCAGAGTGGGAAGAGACGTACACAATCGGCTCTGGTGAGCCTGCTCTCCTATGTGTCATTTATCGTTACCACACCCCAAGCCCCTTTCTGGTTGTAATCTTTAGTTCTCTTGACCCTTGATTATTAGTAGACTACACTCCTATAAAACGTCTTAGACCTCTCTGTGCTCTACTTTTCTGAGTCCTTTTCTTTCTTTTGCTTTTTTGGGTACTACAAAGGTTTAATCCTAATCTTCAATTTTTTTCCTGCAGTCACCAATTTAAGAACTGATCCATTCATAGAGTCTTGGAGACCAGATCTATTTCTAAAATCCTGAAATCTACATTTCTAACCCTAATTTCCTGCCTTCTCATGTCTTTTTTTGGGGGGGATAAGGGGTGGCATCTGGGGCTTCTGCTTTTTATCTCACCACAATAAACATTCTATAGATACTTAACAGCAATAAAGAATAAATGTATCTTTTCCTAGTGCTGACATTTTCACTGTGTTGCCTACGAACTGTAGCAGGAGTATACCAAAATATACTTGTATGCAAACCTAGCCAAGGATTGGTTCTCTTAAAGCATAGTTTTACATTTACAGTAGGGGGGTCAGGGACTTAGCTCAGAGGTTCGGTGGCCTGCCTCGCAAGAGCAAGGACCCAAGTTCGATC